TGTTGAAACAAGATTTATCCAAGTATTTCTAAGATTTATCCAAGTATTTCTTAACACTATTGTTTTAGAACAGTTTAAGTGTCCTATCTGAGTGTCCGTTTATTACAGGGATTTTATGGAGAGATTTAGCGATGATTAGTAACAAGCGTTGACAACATTTTTAATTGATCATCATTGAACTCTTAGTTTTGTTGGACGGCTTGAAATGAAACTCGGGTACAACTTTTAGTATAGTTTTTTGGCAACAAAATATGTATTTTTAAACTTAAATGTAATTTTCAGAACCGGTAATGTAGTGTAAAACTAATAATATACGTCAGACTAGTAAAGTTTTACTTAATTTTCCAAATGGTACAATCATGGAGTTGAACGGTAAATACGCGTAATTTAAACTGAATATTTTAACTATAAATACATATCTCTGGTTACAGTTTTACGCACTCTACAAACAAGTAATATTTAAGTAAAAAAAGAAATCGTCAAAAAACAGAGGGTGTAATTAATTAATTAGGAGTTTTATTACACACAACGGTACTTACTGACAATTACCGACAGTAAAACTGAAATATACAATTAGCCACACCACTAACTAAAAGATGTTTCCGAACAACTGGAGATTCTTTACTAAACACTACTGAATCCGTGGTAAAAGTTTCCATTGATCTCGCTTTTCATTTGAGAAAAGAAGGAGGAAGGTGTCGAAATCAAGTATATTTTACTAGTAACACAAATTTCTCTAGGACGTTCCTAAAAAAATTTAAAAAATAAAGAAACAAAGGAAATGAGCATGAAACGTCTAAAATGCCGCCATTTACTCTCTTTTACTACGACAAATAGTTTCAAAGTTAAGACCATAAATAATCGATAACTTTTTCGTTAGTGATAATTTCCCGCTGAACATATAACACTTTGTTCACTAGATATAGTACTATTGTTGACGTAAGTATGGTTAATTTCACATTTTCATTGTACAAAATGTTGCAGTGTTTCAAAAATGTCTGATGAGCTTCAACCTTAACTAATGAGGTGGTAAAAATCTCCTCAAGGATGTTATATTATCATTCATAAACATAGCAAAAATATTAAGCCCATGTAATATAGCAACTTTCAACATCACCTGGTTCTATTTCGTACGGCTACAAGATAAAAAATTACCTACCTTATTCAAAAATACAAAGCTAAGCGTTGAACTTGAAAAGACATTTAAAATCCCTCTCAGTGAAGTAACTACAAAGTAATTAACAAGGGGGGGGGTCAAAGGGGGGAGTTTGCATATACTTCATTATAGAAAATCTTGTAAACTTTAAGTCTATCCACTAGGCCCTAACAAAATACGCTGAAGATTTTATTGTTTTAGATATTATAAATTTAAAAAATTTTTACTATCCATTTTTATAACATTTGTCATATTTCTTCCACATTTTTACCACAAACTTTATTAACAATAGTAAACCTCTACTATGAGCCAGGCATTTTTCTTTTGTATTTCAATATATTGCAAATCTAAATTTACCTGTTCTATGCCCGTGCCATGGATCTTTTTTCTGAAAGAGTTGATATTAAATAATTAACATCCAAGAATAGGAATACGAAAATCAACAATACGCAAAATCAATCAAAAGAAGAAATCATATACCTCAGACAGTGGCAGTCAGTAAATCAGTAAAAACTAGTAGAACCCCGTCGAAATCGACGGTTAATCTTGAGGTTTTATGTAAATTCAGCTAACTGCGATAGATAGAGTGAAGTCATAAAATCTTAGTTAAATGAAGGGAGGATAAGCATAATAATAAGTGTGACGATTGTGTTCCCTAAAAACCGTGATTGATGAATTCCTTTAACACAATATTTCCTACCTTTTTATCGGCTTTAGGTTGCCTAAAAGGTTTTTTAGGAGTCTTATAATTGTTTGTTCATGAGTTTGTTTCATGTCAAAGCCACTTTCACTATATGGGAGAATTAGTTCATATAATTAGTCTATCATGTTACGGAAAGAGTCAATATTTATTACTAACAACTAATTCAATCTGCTTTAGGAAAATCATTCAGATTGTATCCGGATTTATAAGTAAATCTTCATCTTTGGTCATAAAAATACAAAATTTTATCAGCATATTAAATCAGTTTTTTTTTTTTTTATAAAAATATCTGATTCTCTAGAAAGCAGTAAGATTCTTACTTCGATCTAAGCAATTTTAATTCCTTCTCTTGCCACATCGACCCATGTATTTAATCATCCTGTTCTTACTTGATAATTCATTAACTTATGGGATAGTTTCGCCTTGGCCAGATCGATAACATAAAGCTGTGCATGTATTTCGTGGATGAAATGAACCATAATTGTAGGAAATTTGATCACAAATCTTGAACATTTGCGGAACCAAATCCATAACCTAGTCCAGCCTTGGTAACAAATTATGCAAACGCGATTAGATGTGATGAAACTGTTGTGTTTCCGAATGCTTTGTATGTAGTGAGGTTTAGATGCGTTGTTACATGTGTACAGCAAAGTAAAAACCCTGTACACATTTTTTTAAATACCTGAATTGACATTAGTTCACCTACATCACCAAAACCATAGATGAAACATACTCCGTAGTTAGTCTATTCCAAAACTTGAACACAGCTCTCATCCTCAACGTACTCATCTATGACACAATTTTGAACCCGATTGTTGAAAACTTTTATACCAATAAATGAATTTCTGGTGTTCTTTCTTTAATTCAAAAATAAATGGTAATTGAAAGTAGGCAAAAAAAGGCAAGTGCCAACCTTACAATATATATAAGCTAACCCGATAAGGAATAAATATGTCCTTTAAAATTGATATGTCACACTTATTTCATAATTAAAAATTTTCTAAGAGCAATAAATATATTGATATTTTTGATCACAACATTTAAAACATTTCATAAATTCATCATTTTGTTGAAACTATAAAAAACATGCCATGCAGTGGAGAGTCAATTTAAAATTATAAATAATAATTTAAACATTTAATTTTGACAGTTTCAGTAGACCTTTGAATACAATTTCAATATTAACAGCTGGTTCATTAAAAGTAGTGTAAAATTATCCATATGGTCGTAATGTAAACAAAATTGCTGAGTGAACTTTAAAGGCCTCAGGGGCAGAGTCCCGAGGAAATTTACCTCGTTTCTCTTTTGAAGGCTCACCTACAGACCAATACCTTTCTTTAGACACCCCTACCAAGTTTCTACACCCAGCCGTTCTCTCAAATTAGCTGTGACAAAAACCCCGTTTTCTTCCATAAGAATAACATGGGATGGGACTTAAAAGGCCACTGGGGCAGAGCCCCTAGGGAATATACCACGTTTCTCTTTTGATGGCTCATCTACAGACCAAGACCTTTTTTTAGACACCCCTACCGAGTTTCTACGCCCAGCCGTTCTCTCAAAATAGCTATGACAAAGAAAAACAGTTTCAAATTAATATATAGATACAGCCAAGCAAGGCATGGATATTGTTTAAATTTATAAAAAGTATATTTTTAATAGGAGTACTAGGAGTTAAACCTAGAACACAGTAAACCTCCAAACAGCCGATGACTGCGATATTTTTTTATGAGGAACATTTTTTGACATATTACACTGTGTCTTACAAATTGATTGCGGTATGGAAGTTGTTATCCTATAAAATCGTTGTTGAGAGGAAATAACTTGTTAACAAATTGAGAATGTCTGATACCCGAGAAAACAACTATTTAAAAAAACAATTGAACTGCCGATAGTTACTTACATTTTACAGAAGTGTTATTTTTTTATCAGCCATTCAATCTACACTTTATCTTCAAACATGATCTTTGATGATTTTAGTTAAATGCACATAATCATGAATTCAAATTTACCAAGACTTATTTCGAATGATAGTTTAAAAAAATGCAAATATTTAAATGACATCACCTCATTCGGATCTTTTGATAGATTGGAAAACTATTGTCTTTCGATTATAGGGTTCGATTTAGTGTCTACTAGTAAAAAATATATTGTTATATTTTATAAAAAAGATTATATAAAAAATAGTTTATATAATTGTATGAGTTTTATCATAGATAAAACATAGTCCCTTAGGTTTTATGCAACGGTATAGAGCGTAATAAGTCTACGAATGTTTCTAAAATTAGTTAATACATTCCATTGTTGTCCCTTGTCGCCGTAGGAAAACAGGCAATGAATAGGATAATTTCCTTTATTTCACATGTTGATACTACTATATTTCTATTGATCAATTATCCTATTAACCAATTTATAATAGAAATATTTTTTGTTTTAAAATGTGTTCGCCTATTGATATGTTTGAACTTTTGTCTCCTAGTGATAAAGTATTGAATTTACCATTTAAAAGCTCCTCTTGGAGCAGAAAATGTGAATTAATCTAGTTTTGTTTTATTTCTATATACAAATATGTATACCAACGGAAAAATTACACTTACACTCACGCCTGATATAAATAATAGCCTATTATTATAACTTGGATTTGTTGATGCAAGCAACAACCAACCGTAGTTTTACATTTTCTATTATTGTTGACACTCCACCATGAAATAAATATTTTATTTTGTTTTACGAAGACAATACTACTGTATAAACAAATTACTAAAATTTTACAGAAAAAGAAGGGGTTTTGTATGTATTATTATTTGGATCCTGAGGTCTCTCCTGTTACAACCACAATACAAATTGAGAAACTATTAAACTTTTTTAACTCGTACCTACTAAATATTCTGGTATTTCTACTTTTCCACTACTATAAAATACTCTTCTATTATACTTTTTACTACATATCGAATATCTAACTATGTTCCGATCACTAGAAATAGTCTAAACGGAATACAAAACATTAACCAGCTCCGGTGCGTATCTCAACATACTGTAGCTAACTAGTGGACATTGTCGAGGACATGAACGAGAGAAATGCACCACATTCTAACATAGACGACCGTGCAACATAAAGGGAGGCGATATGAGGGTGACGCTTACTTTTGGGGTCTGTCTCGGTGGCTGGGGTCTTGCCGAAGGTGGTGAGTCTCTTGGTCCTGGCGGGAGAGTCCTCGGCGACGACGGTGGAGGTGACGACCTCCAGCAGGACAAGCGCTCCTAGTAGAGCTAAGGGGCGCCACATGGTCAATCCTCAAGCATGCCTAGGGTCCCACTGCGGGCGGCCGCTGTAGTAAGGGGGAGGGGCTTCTTGACGCTAAATTATGTACTCCTTGGAGCATGCGCTGCCTTCCACCTCTCTTCGTTCCGACGATAAACTATAACAAAGTTTAGCGTTAACTGTTTAATGCCATAGGTCGATAGGTTGCCATCATCGGGATTTTGAACCAACCTTTAACTTCTCGAGGGCGTAATGGACTGGTCTGTGCACAGATGGATCATTAAATATTTGACATTTATTTCTTGAAAGCCAAGATGTCTCAGGCAGGACTTTGCTAGATTATTTCATGCATTGTGTAAAACTGAATACAAATCTAAGTATGATGAAAGATTGCTAAGATTGCAAGCATACATTGAATATATAGCGAAACCCGGCAATGTTACCAACATGTCAAAAATTCAAGTCGGCTGAAAAGTGTTGCATGATTTGAGGTGACTGATCTATAGAGGTGCGTTAAAAAGTGCATACGTCAGTTGCAACTACATACCAGTTTTAGTTGATCTGTTTATTAACTATTTTAACCCTTGATCGCCCGGGATTCCATTACTACCAAATCCAACTACTTTCAACGTCATACGAAGGTTATTCTGGTAAGATACAAGTCTAGAAACATTTCACATTAATCCCTGTTTTAGTACTTCAGCGTGAAATGTAATGTATCTTAAAATACAATTTAATACGGTTTCAGCCTTGACTTGAAACTGCCACTTTTATTTATGGCGAAGAAGTGAAATATTGTTTAGATATATCGCTTGGCTGTTGACATGGTGGGGGAAAGTTGGCATGATCAAATATCAACTGAAACAACACTGCGTGCGGCAAAACGCAGTCACGGTTAACTTTTGTCACGACTTCACAATGGAAGTTCTTTCTGAGAAATATTTCGCACTTTCCTTTATGAAATTCCTAATAACGTAATATTATTACGATTAATAATTATTACATTTTTTACAAACAACAACTGCCTACACGAATACGACAAAATATCAGATACTTCGTAAAGCTGGCATGTTTTATGAATCTTAAAAAAGAACCCATACATAATCTGAAGAGGGTTGCCTATTTCTTTGTTTTCGACAAAACCTTCTGCAAACTTTATCAACCGACGACACTGATCCTTTATAATAAATCGAAGGCGAATGAGATCCATCGTGGTAAGGATAATATGAAAAAATTGTTACCGTTATCTTCAAGTTATTTTCCAACATCTTACACAACTAGTGGCACTGTCATATTTTATTAGTTGTTTCATGGACCGAAAGGTAATTTGGTTATCCCTACTTCAACTAAAATGTATGTGAAATCACCAAGTATTAATAGTGTATTTGGTTGTTTGTTTGTTATTTTCTTTTTTTGACCTTAATTTTGACGCTTTGTTATGGATACAGATAATTTTGTGGGAATATTTTTAGTCATTGCTAACTAGACACAGTTTTAATCAGGAACAACTAATAAGGCTTCAGAGCCTGGAAAAAACAATAATTGCCTTCTGAATGAAATGGTCAGGAACTCCTAATCAAGGTGTAACATAGTTAAAGCAAATAGTTTTGTAAACAAATAGATGAAAACAAGTAGATAATTTTGTTTTGCAGATGAAAACAAAATAGTTTAGCATGCTTGACATTGTTTTACAAATTCACGACGAGGTAGATAACATGAAAATAATGAAAAGAAACTGAATCGAGGTAATAGTGTTTTTTTCACTATACTATAAAACAAACGAACTGCTCTGCCCGTGCTTATCTCAGAAAAGAACATTCAGTGAATAACGTAGGCTTTCTTTGACCGGTTTACTTTTTTATTGAACTTTTTCGTATTATGTGTAATTTTATAGTATTTTTTTTATTGGAAGTAATCACTATGATCACCGAACCACGGTGACGTGCCAACCACAGTATTTGTGAGTCATGTTTTCCGGGTTTATAAAATAATCATTGCCTAAGTATGTCGGCACTCATGAAAGGGTGTTATTTTCTTTATATTATTGTGTTTAACAAACAAATGTTTCAAAGTTGCAACGAAGACCAAAATAACACATTGTTGAATCTGCAGAGCAATGCTGTGCCTAGTGGCCGTTGTGGTACAATAAAAGCCACAACAATAACAGCAGTAAAAGTAGCACGGTCAAGTAATAGCTCAATACACGGCTCTAATAACAGTTTTACTGAGGTTATTTTGTTTGTTGCACATTTATTGTGATTTTCCGTGCGGGCGAAAGAAAACTATAGGGTTAGCAGTACTTCCTGTAAGAACCACAAGAGATTAAACCAGTATGAAATAAATAACCATGCAACATTTTTATGTTTTTTTTTTTACAACCATACTGCTTAGTTTTTAAATTCATTTCTGTCTACTTGTGCAGAAAAAATAGCTACATCGGCATAAAAGTAGTCATATGAAACCAGAACATGCTATTACCAATATCTCAAACTAGGCCCTAGTTAATAAAAATACTACTTGGTGGTAACAAAATGCGAGTGAACTTTATCCCTGATTGCTTGACAGATAGTGTGGTAAGCTGGCATAAAAGGGTTTAATTGTATGTTGATCTCTACAATACCCTGTACTTTCATTTGTTGTGTGGCTGCTGTGCAGTCAACTAAAGGCTCCAGTTGAGGAAGCAGAGTCGCTAGTTCGAGTGAGAGGAGAATTTATAGTAGGGGTGGTAGCAGAGTTACTTGTGGTATCATAGTATACATAATGGAGATGCTGTATATGCATACTGTATAAGCATAGATACTTTATACTGTACAGTAGAGAGATACTGCTAAGTTGATGGATGTGGCAGCAACAAATTAATACAGCAGCAGAGTTATTTGGCAGGTATGAACGTTTGTGATACCAACATATGTTAATGCAGAAGATTATTATTGGTGGATTGAGTTTTTGAAATGAAATAAAATGAAATGAAAATCCTTCTGCATTGAGGTGAACTTAGGACATCATGGTCCTTTCTTACAGTTAACCTCTAAGTTTATCAATGTTGTAGCAGATTTTCTGGACCATGTTGCAGCAGGTTGTTGTAGCAGCAGTGTAGCAGATTTGCTGATCGTTGTTGCAGCGTTGGTTGTAGTAGCAGCAGCGTTGTAGCAGATTTGATGACCGTTGTTGCAACGTTGGTTTGGTAGTAGTAGTAGCAGTGGTGTAGCAGATTTGCTGATCGTTGTTGCAACGTTGGTTGTAGTAGTAGCAGTGGTGTAGCAGATTTGCTGACCGTTGTTTCAACGTTGGTTGTAGTACCAGCAGCAGTGGTGTAGCAGTTTTGCTGGTCGAGGTTGTATCGGAGGCTAGCAGTGATGAAGTGGGCCAAGTGATGAATGTGGTTACAACACGCTCCTCGCCGCGATCTGACACCTCTCGTGCCAACATGTCCCTGTTAAACTTTTTCTGACTTTGAAGAACTTGTAGACAGAGTAATATTACATGACCTACACCTAAACTTTTTGCCAGCGTAGGGCACGCAAATGCTGTTTTTACTGTACCAAGTAGTTTTAAACAGTACCAATATATCTCTAGATTATTCTCTGCTCAATAAATTATCCAAAGTTTTCTTATATTTCAGCTGTATATCTTCCAAAAGCCGTTTTAGTTTACAAGTTCACAAGCTGCAATGCTGATCTACTGTATATTATTATTACTATAAATAGGCCTAAATATGGAAATGTTTTCTTACTAATAATAAATATATACAACAATTATTTAGATTAGAACACCGTACTTTCTATTTATCAATAAATTCATGTTCACCTCATAAAAATATATGTTTCACAAAATCAACACAGTGTCTAACATTTCACTGTGGATATAATATTTTTATTTTATTTTGAATCGTGAAATTTTCTATTTAAGGATCTTCACGCTAAATACTTTTGTCGAATTAAGCACGCCAATCGGTTGTTATTATTCAAAAATTCAAAAACACGTTTGATTATAGGTTATATACAGGCACAGTTTTCTCAGATTTGTATTACTTTTTTGAGTTTTAAAGCAGAACCAGAAGTCCGAGACTGATATTTATTTTTGACCTATTCTCGTTATGTTTTTAAAAAATGCAGCTGTCAAGCAAATTGCAATATTTTAAAGATTTTATAAGCTTACTAGCTGGCCCGACAGACGTCGTCCTGTCCTAATATGGTTTTATGTCAAATGCTCGTTCATTTTCAAGATGAACTCGTTCGCATGGCTCAATCAAGTCCTGGTTGAAGTTCGTTCGCTATGCTCACTCACCTTTAGGTTGGAGCTCGTTCGCTACGCTCACTCACCTTTAGGTTGGAGCTCGTCCGCTGCGCTCACTTGCCTTCAGGTTAGTTCGTTCGCTACGCTAACTCACCTCCAGGTTGAAGTTCGTTCGCTACGCTCACTCACCTTTCATAAATTAAAAAAAATTACAGTGCTGCACCCTGTTGGTAAACCTATTAACTTTTTAATGCTATTTAACATCACAGAGTCAAATTGTTTGGTTGAACCAGCTGTTAAGATTCTTTAATTCCATTTAAATATGAGTGCTCATAAGGTTAACATGGGAAACTCCAGAGCCACTGGGGCGGAGCCCTTTTGACGGATCTGCACCAAACTTCACACAAACCATCCTTGAATAATGATAAATAATGCCTGAAAGTTTTATTACAATCTGTCGAGTGGTTTCGGAGTCCATAAAGGACAAACATACATACATACAAACATACATTGGATTTTTATATAGATTTGATTAGTCTAATATATTTTGTTCGGTATTTTGAAATATAATTTTAACATTATGTTAACTCGTTAACAGAGTACTTAAGTGACTAACTTAATAATTTCAAATAATATAAGAGTGAATCCACACACGCACAGTCATTAATTTAAATATTTGATCAACTCACCAATAATTTTTCAATTAAATTTTGCACACAACATATTTCAATCACTAATTCGCCAAGTTTTTTGGCAATGAAAACACAATAAAGGTAAGACCAAACAGCTGGATTTTTATGAGAGTAGGACTAAAATAGGCGACTGTTCGTGTTGGTAGAATCATTACAAATTTGTTCCCCGGCTGAGGACGT